TCATGCATCACTGTTGTTGCAGTCCCTACAGACGAAAGACTCGTAACAACTGTTGCTGAGAAAAAGACGAATTACAAATACCTGGCTGTTGAATTGTATGAGGACATGTATGGATAGCGCGCAGTGGAAGTGCTTCCAGTGATATTGTCAGCGAATTGATTGGTCACGAAGGAATGGCAAGAGACAGCAATGAAATTAAAAGTACCTGAGAAGCATTTGCGGACCATTCAGAAAGCTGCATTATTAAGAATAACAAATAAAGTCCGTAAATACTTACGCTTTAACTGACGGATATCAAAAACCAATTATCTCCTTGTTCCACTTTACGTGCAAACCATTGTTGTCTTGAATGAACTAAAACCCCAGCATCAGTGTATATCCACAGGAAATATATATATATATATATATATATATATATATATATATATATATATATATATATATATATATATATATATATCCCCCAAGCCCACAATCTTATCTTTAAGATGGCAGTTTCTTCTTATAGTACGTCACATACAGTTTTCAGCTGTTTTTTGACTTTAAAAATATATAAAGAACTAGTTGTGCTAGGGCAGCACATACTTTATCATATTATTTATATATTTTGCCGTTTTCAAAAATTCAGAGAGTTCAATGAAAATGAGATTTGCACCATTCTTTTAGGCGTCTTTTGTTCTATCCGTGGAGAGGGGGGAATAAAGAAAAAAATATGGAGCGTCTTTTGAGAAAATCTTTAAATAAATTGCGTTAACTTCAATAAGACATTATAAAGCGGCAACTAACCACTGGGCTTCGACCGGGAGCACTGGGCCACCATAACCACACAAATAATGACATAATGAATTCAAAGAATTACCTTAAAGAGTTAAATCGACTTATTATAATTCATATTCACTATCTTGCTGATTAATTAAATTTGCATCCAATTCAATAAATAGCTGTTGATGATAATTAAAACGTGAGTTGCATTGTGAATTAAACTGAAGGAATACGGAAATAAGAAAAGAAGTAACACTTTCCGCATTCGATATCCATCGACAGCGCAGTTTTTAAATAAACTCTAATACAAATAACGTATAATCTGACATTAGTCATGCTATTAGTAATGCTACGTTTGATACATTCTAAAAATATATTTTAATGAAAATCTACATTTCCCCATCAAACAAAGATAAAATTACTCCATTTCCGTAAATAAATATAACTACCAATCAACTTTTCTTCAGAAATAGAATGTTGAAAGCCCCTCCTACCCAGTAGCATTTGTGTAAGTCGTCACTGCAGTGCTCCACATTCGCTACTGTGCGAACGGCTTGAAACCAGCTGCTTTAGCACCGAGTCATCATTGCCTCCTCTGCAGCAACTCTGTCCGGAAGGCACTCGAGTTTGATTTGATTCAATTTTTTTCGTCAAAGTACAGTAAAAGCTTTAAGTGGCCGATGGGGTAGAAGTATCTTCTGTACACGTTTCCTTGAGCTCCGGAATCTCAACTTTACATTTTCACACAGCAACTCACTCCCGGTTCCTCTCCTATCAAAACTAGCAAAATGAGAGCTCAATAAAACATGTGCATAGTGAGCTACATGCATGGCCATAAGCAAAACAAGGGGACTCCTCAACATTTGTTCAATGGATTTGAGAAACTACAAAAACCTGATCGAGAGGGGGTCATTGTCCCAGGAGTTGAAATACATTACTTGTTACATGTATGTTTTGTCTTTCTAAAGTAGTATGCAAATGTTAATTATGCATTACATATCATTGTTAAAATGAATATTATTTTTCTTCTTTATGGTCAGTATAGTCCAGTTTATAGGTCAGTATAGTATAGTCAATATGGTCTAATTTTACAGAAACAATTATGTATCATCAAATATTTTACCTGACCTTTAATATACATGTATTAAGCCTACATTGTATTTCTTGTAGTTATCGTAGAAATCATATTCATCAGATGTCAGTATCTACAGCTGTGTGTTGTAACTGTAAATATCTGTATTGCATGAAAATATGTTCCCACCCCTAAGTCAGTCCGTTTTGAAAAAAACTACATATTCGTAAATAAATAGGCAAGGTAATGGTAAAACTTCAAGCTCAATTAAGAGAGACTTGCAAGAAAAACGTGGATGGCATTTACTTACTATTCGTAAATATTTTTCGCCAATATATAAAAGTCTACGTACTATCAGACGTGCTTCCCCAAAATATTATGTCATATCACAGGAAGGCATGTACATTCGCAAAATATGTGCAACGAGTTGCATAATGGCTGACTGAATTTGAGAGAATTATGAATGCGTAACATAATGAACTTAATTTAGTGTTCAATTGGTTATTCCATTTGAGGTTTCACAAGGCTGAGAGACCCATAAATGTTACCTTAACATCAGCCAATTACATATCACTAATTTTCAATGACGATTACCTGTTTGAAATTTACAATTGCATTGAAACAGTTTTCCCTTCGGTTACTATTAATTTGTTATAACAGAACCAATTTGAAACATCAGAAATCGTACTATTTATTTTTCTTTTTTACGAAGAACATTCGTGTTATCAACAAACCAAATTTTTCTTCCGATTCTAATACACGAGAGCATATTATTTACGTATAAAAGAAGAGGATATAGGGCAAAAAGGAACTCTTCGGGCCCCCGTGCTCAATTGGCAATAAACTGGGTTCGAGTCCCGATGGTGGTGAATTTTCGACACTAGCTCTTCAGCTAGAAAAGAATTCTACTGCCGACTGCCCTGATCGGTAGTTTCCGGTAGATCTTTTCTTCCTTTCCATTATCCTGTTCGCAACATTACAGCTTGTTCAGGCCGGAACAGTGCCCCGTTGGGGGAGATACACGGAGGAGGGAAATCCTCACAGGGCGATATGAAGATCAGCGCGGGATCTCACGGATCAGCGCCGGTCGGCACCGGGTCTAATCTGAGAAAGAATAACCGATTAAAACATTCCTACACTAAACGAACTAATGATCATAGCAGTTGCCGTGCCGGTGAAACATTAATTAATCAAACCTGGAAAGCATGTGTTTGATATAAAACATTACGCAATTGCAACCACAGGCAACACCAAACTTATTCCATTTTGCTTACCATTTTACTTATTCCCCCAAACATATTCCAACAAACGTCGAACTACTTTTCACTCACATACAGTTCACAACCTTTCTATATAATCTATAAACTTCGATGTTATTCCGGTAGATGAAATATTGCGTAATCATATTGTTTCCTGATGACAACTCCGAGGCGTAAACGCAATACCAATCTCGGAATCAATATTTTTAACATCCTTAGGTGTACTACAATAGCACATGTATTTCGAATTATTTGCAACGTTTACGTAATATTATAATATTAGTTGAACCCACAAATGATTCCAATCCCATAAAAAGTTTCCTAAACTGGGAATTAAACTCGATAGCTTAGGTTCATCAGAAAGAATCTTCCTAAACGCTATGGATTCTTATGTTATGCAGGATGCGTTTCAAATGCTATAATCGATTCAATGCTGTGATTCTAACACAGTGTCGCAAACGTTTATCTAACTATTAATTGATTATTTTAATTAACACAATTAATGTAAATTATATTTCATTAAGAAAGAAATATATATATTTTTAATAATACAGTAGTATAATAATATATACATTTTGGAGAAAATCCTATGTGCGGTTTAGGCGTTCGCTTAGGTTGCTCACAGACAGATGAACCGACAAGCGAATAGATGCTTTGGAAAGGAAGAAAACAAAGCTTCGGTAAAACGTTATTTGACTGTGTTACGTATACGGGAAAGTGCTATACTATGTATAGGAGAAATTAGTAACCACTTTTTCGGTATCAGGAACCAACGAAACTAAAACAACTTTCTCGCATACTAATTGCTCAGTATAGAGAAATTAGTATGCGAGAAACTCGAACTCTCTACGATTCGTCTTGGGATGCGCAACATTGCTCGCCTCCCAGCAAAGCAGCCAAGAAGCGCTCGCGGTCAAACAACGCAGGAGCAGTCAAGAAGCGCTCGCGGTCAAAACGTGTCACAAGTTCAAATTTGTTTTTGAAGTATTCAAAATGTTAAACAACACAGCAACCCCGTCATTTCCAAACAATCCTTCTTCATTTCAACATATAAATATCACTCCACAATAATGAATCACGGAGCAAGTAATAAGACCATCACTTCTCATAATTGGTAGAAATACACTCTATTTGTTTTCAGTATTACTTTCAACAAATGATATCACTGTATACCTTTTCATCTACCCATTGCAAATAAAAAAAATCTTCATTTCATTTAAAATTCAAAGGTAATTTATTTATCCATCTTTTCATATATTCATAGTAAGTAAAAAAAAAATACTTCGTTTTGTTTAAAATTCAAAAGTGATTCATTATATCCCAAACAGAAAATATTTATATTTCAAACAATAGACCTATGGCACATTACTTGGTCCTTACTTAATTTTTGTTGGGTGAAAATTGCATCTCAAAGTTGTGAATCAATTCAATTCTCCTATTTTTAAAATTGTTTCTAAACTTATAATATTGGATGTGTTCACGTGAAATTATTTATTAGGTGGGCGTTTTTTGAAACTTTATCAACTCTACAAATAATGATGGTATGTAAAAAGTGCTGAATCTATTTCAAGTTCTGCTTATAGTTTTGAGCAATTTTGATAAGATAATGGTAACTCACAGTTTTATATCTTGTGCGTCAGACATGTACAAAATTTGTGTTGTTTAAATACTATCAAATATCACTTCTATGAATTTCCTCACAATAATTGAACATTGTGTTGCCCAAGAAAAGAACGAAAGCAAATATTAAAGCTTTAAGTCTAATTTCACACAACTTAGCACACCATTGGTACTCATTGTCTTGCTATAAGGAAAATAACCATAAATGGTATCAATGTGCAAAGAAATTGTTCCTCGATGCGTTTTTTTCATGCTGTGATGTGATGTGATTATCTCTCATGTTTCAGATGATGATCATAATGGGAGTGATTGGCCTTGTTGTACTAGCCATTATAGTAGGTAAGTGTTCAGCTAAGTGCTCTTTTATTAGTCATTTAAGCTCAATAGGTTTTTGTCATTCTGTACGTGCTTTAGGCCTTCACAAGTAATGACTGTCAATATCGCACAAAAAAAACAAGTAGATATAATAAAACAAAAATTCTTTTAGTATTGTGTATTACATACTCCTACGACCTTATTACAGTTCCTATAGTTTACCCAAATAGTGTAGTTGGAATTTACCCATGTCACCATTTCCCCTTTCACATTTTGAATTTCCGTCTCTTTTCTCCTAATACCTAATGCCTCTAGATCTGTTTAGACATTTAACTATTGCAACGTTTGCCTCACTGTTTTCCTCCCATCGTTTAATTTTACAGCCAGTTAGAAATTAAAAGTCATCCTTTACATTATCATTATAAGTCTCAAATCCTTAATTGTTGAAAGTTAACTCTGTAATACTTTGTTTTTCATATTGTCGGCGGACAAAACACATAAATGGTCATTTTGCTGGAGAACAGTTTTAACATCACCGGAGTCGTTTCGTTGAGAGAGAAAATGATTTACTCTCAATACCGGCTGTCCTGGGAAATATCCTTATACATTTTTACTAGTAGAAATATATTATTTTCTAAATAATTAAAACATGTATTTTTCAATAATTTTCATTTAGATCTGTCAAAGCTACACAGTGATCGAAATTCACGTCCGTGTATTATGTTTTTATGTAGTTTTCAAAATCATTATTTTCGGATATTCTCTCTGTGTGTTTGGTGTGCATTTGCCGTGTTACATAATGTGATTTTCATTACGGTTTCCCGAACCAGGAATTACTTTTTATATTAGAAATTGGCTGCCCGGGACACGCCATGTTCTACGCATTGCAACCTTCTTCGGAGCCATTGCACCGAAGAGCCAACAAATCACGGACTTCCCCTTGAAAATAATTTACCCCTTCGTTGCTCGACCCCTTGCAGACGGACGCCGTCGGTCGAGGGCGAGCGCTGTGCTCGCCCACGGTCTTTGCCCATTTTGTTTTCTAATGTACAATTTTAGAATTATAATATTTTCTAATAATGTTTTCTAAAATCAATATAAAACTATTACTATGCAAATTAATAAAAACATTATAAGATTGATGTATGTTATCTCAATTCTTATTTTTTGTTCCCAAAATTATTTACATATGTTGCTTTACAATGTACAAGTTACAATTACAAGTAAAAGTATGTTTTCGAGACAAAATCAGCTCCATTTATGCATCGTATTAAGGTTTTCTCGTTTTCTTCTTGATAAAAAGAAGCATGTTTATTTCGTTCTTATTTTTCGTTTGTGATTCCCCTACCTCGCTTTTAAAAAATTGAATCATAATGAAACATGACAGGTGCGGATCCACAGGGAGGGAAATGAGGGAAATCCCCCCTTAAATTTTTCAATAACTATTAATTATAACTTGTCACGAAACTTTCAAGCAAAAATATGTTGCAATAATCATTACAACGAATAAAATCGTATCGCAACATGTGCTGAGTGTAGCTTGCAACATTTTACAAAATCTGAAAGACAACACATTTCACCAAAATATTTCGAATTTCCTCTCCCAAAATTTGTCTCTGGACCGGCCGTGAACATGAACTATAAAAAAAATGAACCCCTCCTACTCACACACTTGACAAACTCAACTTCCAGGAACATGCGAGACGGTGAATCATTTTAGTTTTCTTCGCCTGTGACGTAATAGTCGACAACACGTCCGCTTTTGTCTACGAAGGGTGATGAATGATATGTAAACAAGACGTGTCGGGCAGCTGCTAGGTCCTCACTATGCGTTTTTCCGCTCTCAACCTCTGTCTGAAGACTAACCTTATGCCATAACATATGTTTAGTGACTTTAGAAACATATAGTTTGAAATTAGATCAAAGTGCATATTGGATAAAGCAATTTGTTTCGCCTCTGCAATGTAAGTACAGTGTTCGAAATTGAGTCCAACTCAGAGCATCAACCGATGTCACTGCAGTGCCTCTGAACGACCGGTCGTAAGGTTCGAATCCCAACGGTGGCAGGATTTTTTATTCTGATAGCTGAGAGATATCTGGATCGAATTCATCCGCTATCTGAAGAAGAAGTCTAGCGGTCGGCTACTCTGATCGGTAGTTTTCCGTGGGTTCTCCGATCCAACGAGGCAAATGCCGAAGCAGTAGACGGACCTAACGGCAATACGGCAATACACGGCCTAAGAAACGGGTAAAGGACAGCGCGCAATCTTGCCTTCTTCTTTGCCCCATTCTCACCTCTTATATATATATATATATATATATATATATATATATATATATATATATATATACACACACACACACACACTTGCACTTACATGCATTATACTATCAAACATGCCGGGAAACCAGTCAGGCGCTTAGAGCTTGCCCCAGCTGGGGAGGCAAACCACCAATTACAAAATAAGCAGAGCTTCTAGATTTGATTTATTGTCACCATCTTGTATAATAAAGAGTAGACCAATGGAAAGGATTCCAAGCACGAAAAAGAAATAAATAATATTCGAAATGCTTAAAAACATTTTAAATGGATAGTTCGTTGGCAAATCAAAATGTAATGAGAATCGGCTTGACAATGCTCTACTTTCGGCGCCTGATTTTCGAATTATATCAATCGATAAGGAAGTAAGAAAGCCTATAAGCCAAAGCCTAAAAGACATTAATTCTTTAAGTTTAACGTTGGCTGAAAATTTTCTCTGTGATTTGAGCAAAATTGTTTCATAAATTTTGGATATAACCCCCTCTCCCCCCTCAAAAATTGAGTGAGTTCTTGAGAAAAAATAAAGTTGTTAGGGAAGTACAAATGCCCACGTTATCTCAAAACAGACGTATAAATGCTTATTACTTCAAGCGGAACGCGATGTGGGAAACAAGACTAAATAATTGAAAAGAAATATTGCACATTCAATTATTTACAATATTTGTAGCAATAACGTTCCATGACTTGTAGAAGAATCATAAATGAAGAGAAATAGGCGTGATCACTGAAGGACTGATGTCGATGCTGCAAGAGCATGCCACATAAAAGTAACTTGAAGTTTTTCGTGGAAACAACACATTCTTAGTTTGACGGTTGTATAACAAACATCCCACCACATCCTGTGTTCGTACATTTCACGACCGGCACCGCTGACACACACAGAGTTAAGTGTATTATTCTCACGAAGACCATCATTCTCACGGCAACCACAAACGTCTGGCGACACGATTTCGACAGTTCGGGAAGCCCCCAGTGATAAAACCATTCTGCCTCTCTGCACTACGGTATACAAGATATGTCATTGAAATTTAAAAAACACACACCAGCGTTTTCCTCACAATGCCAGTAGTAAAATTTCTGTAGCTACAGGCGTGGGGGATATTATTATTATTATGAATATTTATTTATGACTTCATATTTTACTCGAAAAAAAACACAAGAAGAATAAAATTACATCTTGATTATACAATTAAAAACATAAGTGATTTTAGGTTGAACCTCTAACAGGGTTGCTTGAAAAGCCTCTTTCCCAAATATCCCACAACAATTCTTCAAATTGTAAACTTAAAAAGGGAGAGAGATACCTACTAGAGAAAGAGATACCTACTAGTGATCTGCAACAGCAAAAATACTGCTGAATAAAACAACACAAAATTGACTTCCGAAAAGTAACACACACACTTCTCAAGAAAAACAATAGAATAGTCTTGATTAACACTGCCATTAATCAAATATTTGAACAAAAACAGTCTGCACGAATACTGAAAAAACTTAGTATAGTATATATTAAGTATAACAGTTCTTTACGTACCAAGAATATTAAAAAAGTTACTGTGCCATAACTCAACATGTGAATAGCAAATATTTAATGGTTGGCGCCTTCTTTCTTCTTGATATCGCACATCGTCAGCTAACGATGCAGTGCTGCGTCGCGCTACAATTCATGAAAATAAACGTGCAGCCCGCTACAATTCATGAAAATAAATGTGCAGCCTTCTATTTTACGTTCAGTTCAAATATTGGGTGCAAGTTACTTTAAAATATTTTCACTCCCTAAGTCCCCTTCTCCCTTTTCACTCCCTAGGTGAACAGCGTATTTTGGAATAAAAATTACGTATTGCATAGACATGCTATTGATCGTGGTGCAGTGGCGGCTGTTCTTTAAGGGCTCCAGAGCGGCGCCCTTTCCAGAAAACGAACCTTGGGAAAAATTGCAGACAATATTTAACTTTCAATAAAACGACTCGTTTAATTTGTACGTACCACCAGCGCAATTTTGAGGACACATTTAGTTTTAAGCGCCCGATTAAGCGAAAGGAAAATGTTTTTGGAATGGGTCGTATCGTGGACTATGGCGAGTCCGTCCGTAGCTGCTGCATGCGAGGCAACGGAAGCTTGAGGAAGAGGGTGGGTACTGGGAGTTGGGGGGCGGGGGCAGCGTTCTGCTATTAGGCCCATTCACAATGCAAACATAAACACAAGCATGGCGTTAACATAAAAGTTAGGACTACGTTCATAAGCGGGCTCATTCACAATGCGTTCGCGTAATCATGATACGTAAGACAACTTAAAAGCTAGTAAGCTTTAAGCTTCTGAGCTTATGCTTAAGACATACGAAATGAACCAGTCACAGTACGTTAACTCAAAATCGAGTATAGACGAGTATAATCGAACTAACGCCAATGGGCCATGGATACAGTCGATATCTTGAAATCGATTCTCACATCCAACCAATAGTAAACTAGAATGTCTCACAGAAACAAAAACTCTTATTTTGCTGACATATGTTGGCATTGTGAATACTTCAGTCTATCGCTGATGTTAACGTTTACGTATATGCGTTATGCTTATGTTTACGTTTGCATTGTGAAAGGTCCTTTAGTGTTTTGTTCGGCGGAGTTCGCGTCTATTAATGAAGCTAAGAATTACGATCCTCTCATCTGATTTCAGAAATTAGTTTTGTTAGTTGAAATTTTTTTTTTTTTTTTTTAAATATTTTATTTTCAAGTGAACCAATCGTATCTTTTGTTATCAACGTATAACTTGTCTTAGACAAGGATTACTATTCCGAAATGTGCAGAATGGTTGTACAGTGCATGCTACAGTTTTCCTCGTTCAAGAAATATTTTGTAGACGTAAAATGCATGTGATAGTTCGCACATACATGCCTCACCTCCAACTTCGCAACCCACCTCCCGGCACTGTCACGGAGGCCTGATACTCAACTTAAATGGAAAATAATACATTAAATATCATTGATAAAATTAATATTCCTTTCCTTTTGGATGCTCGGTATAGTCTCTAATTGTACAGAAACACTTGGGCAGCAGAAAATATTTTGCTTGGGACTTAAACTTTTGCATCGCATTTAATCGTTTAATGTCATCTGGCAACATGTAAAATAATATATTTGAACAATATTGGAATTTTTTGTAGTGAGCTGTTGATATTGTCACGTAATGAATATGATTACTGTGTCGAGTGTTATATGTTATAGACAACAGCGTTTGCTGAGAATATATTTTCGCCCTTAAGTAAGTCATTTTTGACAAAAACCACTGATTTATATATCCAGAGACAAGGTAATGGTAAAATACCTAGATTAAATACAGGCTTATAAGAATCACATGGGTGGAATTTTCTTATTATTCGTAGAATTCTTTTTTGAAATCTAAAAGTCTGGGAGCTATAAGATGTATTTCCCCAGAATATTACGCCATATCTCAGGCGGTAATGAACATTCGCGAAATATACACAACGAACAGTATGAATGCTGACTGAATTTGAAAGAATTCTAAAAGCGTATCGTAATAAATTTAATTTAGTGTTCAATTCATTTAAATGGACTGATTCTATTTAAAGTTTGACTGAATTGAAAGACCTAAAAATGTTGTTACTTTACCATCAGTCCATGGCACACCGTTCATTTTCAATGGAATACAGAGATGTTTATTTGAAATTGAAAACTGCATTGAAACCGTTTTCTTTTCATATACCATTAATTTGTTATTACAGAACCAATTTGAAGTATCTGAAATTGTACTATTCACGGTTTATTTATTGCAAAGAATATTCGTACTATCCGCAAAGAGGACTGTTCTTCCGTTTCGAACCGTCGAGGGCATTTCGTTTACCTATAGTAGGAAGAGAATAGGGCCTAAAATTGATTCCTGCAGGACTGCACTTGCAATTGGCAAAGAATCGGAAAGGTGTGTATATAATGTTCCATTATTCCAGTAAGGTATTTCTACTCTATGATATCGTCGTTTAAGGTACGAGCATAACCAATTTAGAGCAATACCAAGAAATGGATAAGAAGGTAATTTTGACAGTAAAAGGTTATGATCAATGACGTCAAAATCTTTTGAAAGATCTAAAAATATTTCAATAGGTGCTTCTTTTTGATTTATGGATGAGGCGTCACCTTTAAGAAAAGAAAATATGTCTGTTTCCGCTGATTTTGATTTTCGAAACCCATGTCGGCAATCTGAAAACGAGTTGTGTTTACTAAGAAAGGTTTCCATTCGTACGTAAAGAAGTATCTATAATATTTTTTGAAAAAAACGGTAAAAGAGAAATGGGCCGATAAATTTGAATTTCATTTTCGTTCCTTTTTTGAAAAGCGGCTTATCTTAGGTGTTTTAAAAATATCTGGAAAAATTCCTGTGCATAAGTATACATTAAATATGTGAGTTAACGGGTGTATAATTTCAGGCGCATAAGTCTTCAACAATCCAGAAATTCATTTAAACCGGCCGAATATTTATGTTTTAGTCTACCGATTTTGAGAATTTCATTGGAATATGTTTCGAAAACGAACATCGTGCCTAAAATTTTGGGGGAAACATCTGGTGCTGAATTTTGTGGCTGAAGATCCTTAGAGAGATCGGCTGCAATTCTCGAAAAGTATTGGTTAAATAGACTAGTCCGTTGCCAGATTGTTCGCATTTCTATAGCATTCTCTACAAGGTTTCTAGTTGATTTGGTCGACTTTTTAACTACATTCCACATTGCTTTTGTTTTATTTTTTAAAGTAGAGGAGGGGATTTGAGATACATTTATGAAGCTTAGAAATGAAAGAAATTGTTTGATTTTACATGATGTCCTAATCCCTTGTGTTATCCATAATTTGCTTTTCCGTGAAATATTTCATTTTCTTTTTTGAAGACGAAAGCAAGTGTTACAATGAAATGAAAACATTGAAAAAAGAAAGAAAAAAAAAGGGAAAAAAAAAAGAAAAAAAATAATTTGTATCAACAGTATTTTAAACCATGGCATCTTGCAGCAAGTATTTGATGAAAAATTGTATTTTTCATATTTTCAATAACATTTCAATATTTCATCATCATTCATATTCAATAATATATCAATATTTCCATAACATTTCATCGCCAATTATGACCATGCCTACTATTCTGCCAGCTTTAAGTACCGGCCATATGAATTTAAAGTTGTCACATTTTTCACTAATCCATCTATCATAAATGTAATGCATTTTTCCTCAGAGGTTCTTTTTTGCTGCCTCCTTAGTCAACACTCCCATCCATTTCTTTGGCCCATGTTTTTAAACATTTCTCCTTTTGTATATAAAAAAAATGTCATTCCCTATTGAAAAAAAAAAAATTAAGCAATCCTCTGTGATGTTTCAAGAGCAACTGATCAAAATGTATTAATTCTTACAGAATATAATGTGTTTTGAAATGGTCTTGTTACATGATTTTCAATTGCTGGGTGATAATTATATTTTCTCCATTTTAAATTAATATTAATGTTCTTTGAGTGGGCATGTTTTTGGAATTTATTAAAAAAGTTAAAAATAAAATAAAAATTCTCTTCAAACTAAATTGAATTTGATTGTGGAATTAATATATTTTGCCCTGTTGCTCTGCATTTATCACAATATTTAGGTTGTAGTCTTGAAACCCTAGTATTTATTTCAAAATATATTTTTTCAGAATAAGAAAATTGTATACACACATTTTTGAGATAGGGTTATTTTAGTGTGTGCATTGTAAAGGCTCGAAAACATTAATTATTGTGTATTTGTTGCAGCCAAATTCATGCCTCAGTCGCCAACTCCACCAGCCTACCAACCACAACCACAACCACAACCACAAGCTTTGCCTCCCCCGACACCCCCACCAGATGGCCAGACTCATTAAGTCTCCATTCACATCTATAGTCTATTATTTATTTTTCAGTGTCAATAGATAATAAGTCAATTTATTTTATCTTACATCATTTGAGTTGTTCTTGTTTGGTACTAAACATGAAAAAGATATCATCTATCTCACATTAACAAAACTCTGTTAGCACTCATAGTTGAAATGGGTATATTACTGAAGAACAACTTTCCATATTTTTGTTTTTTGTTACGGTGCTTACCAGGGCCGCATTATAGGATACTGGCACTCTCCACTGCTTGAGCATAACATATAGGAACTGAAGGATATCAAAATCACTGCCTAAGAACAGAATTGCAATTTACTATGTTTGTGGGGCAACATTTCTATTATGGTATTGTTTCTTGTTGTAATTGAACTTGCTAAATAATAAGCCTAGGAAACATATGATAATAAATATTAGATATATCACCACCTCTTTGAGTGCAATTAAACACATTATTCAAGTGTTAATATAGATGCAACAATGTAAATATTTTTAATAGAATATTATGCAATCACTATATACTGTCCATGCAATATTTTACAAGTTAACACTTAATTCTGTCACACTTTTTTCAGGTGAAAATTGTGTCAGTTAATTTGAAACATCCCAAAAATGCGGCTCTGAGAATATAATTTACATTATTTTACACTGTCTTGAAAATATTAAATTATATATATTATACATATAATTGTGAAAAAATTGTATTGTAAATAACCACTGTACAGATAGTAACTCAATTCTGATATGATAATGGTAATTAATGGCATATTGCAGAGCCTGTCCTATAAATATATGAATTCCTCCACTTCATTTATGTGTGTCAACAATGCTAGAATTTCATCTAATGACAATTATTTTAAACAGAAAGACTGTGTAGTAAATTGTTTCTATGAGAGCTCAGGATTAATGGAAATAGCGATAACATTTATCAAACTTCTTGGACAATTTCAGCATGTGATGATTTAAAAAATGTATCATTATTTACATGTAAAACACATATTTGAATTCCTAGAACTGAATGTAAATATTAAATGTTAATATATTTTCTCACTTCTTTAAAATATGATCAAGACAGTGTACCAATGAAAGATCTATGAAAAATCTACGTTAATTACTTTCTTGATTTTTTATGAATCTCTTCAGAAGGAAACTGTGGTCAAAACCTTCATGAATTTACTGTCACTGTTGTCAAGACTGTCACTCATCTATCAAGGATTATCACTTAGTGTACAGTTTAAACTGTGAACAGTAAAATGGTATGTTGTTGGCATAGAATAATTTTTCCAAACCAATTCTGCCAAGACTATTACGTCTTATTTCCAGTCATTATCATGATAATGATCATGATCATTAACATCATTACCATCAATATTATTTAGATGGCAGGCATGAAGGAAAGTAAAGCATCAGTATCCAATCAGAACACACATTTGACTAGCAATTTTTTAAAGCATCGTTTGTCATATATAATGTATATACGAGAGTATAGTGCTGTACACACATTTCTCTAGTGTACATAACCTAGAGTTATTCAGTGCATAATGATCATATTCCTCAAACAAGTAACAATGATTAACCTCTATACAGACTGGCTTCTGTGATCCAACATTCTTGTGTGAGCAAGGTACTGGCTATATTTATGCTTTCCCTTTAGAACGCATTCTTTCACTCGCTCATTAATAGAAATGAACAACATTATGAAGAGAGGATAGTCATAAACAATAATCTATAAATTGTTATAAGATCTGAAGTTTTGAATAATGCATTGTTCATAATTCATGTTTAATGTGAGTACAGTAAATAGCAACAAACGTGAAAATTGGTGGATGTTATGTGCCAGATGCACTGATTTACTTTGCTTGAATTTCAAGAAAATCACAATGTTTTCAATTACTTTATTGCTCATGTTCAAACTAAATGTACAAGTCTTGTTTCCTGAAAATTGTCAATAATAAAATTAATATTTCTCTCCCACATTTCACATATACTTTTATAGTTTTTAGATGATAAATACATCAAATCAATTTTTTTCTTGCAGAAATTAGCCAAGTAAATGAAAAATATGTTATAAATTAATATCATTACCCATCTACAAAATCTACAACTATTGAAAATAATATATTGTAATGAAATCCTTAATTTGTGACAGTTTTGTGGACTTTTGCAATTTATTGAACATGATCATTTTTTCCAAACTCTAAATAAAAAAAGGAATTTTTGTTTGCAATGACTTTTGCTTCTTTAAGAGGCATCAGTTCTGATATAATAGAAATTTCAATACCTAATTTGAGTATGAGGTAAAAATTATGAAAAGATTACATATACTGCATTGATTTTTAAAATTTATTATTTAGATATTGTGATATTCTTCAAATTCAAGTTCACAAATGCTGTAGTATTTCCCTGTATTTTACCTTAAATGTGTCATGTAATTCATGGTTAAACAAATACAATGTATTGCTCTTCCAAAAGTGAAAACTGAAATTGACACAGTTTAACAATGGCCACACATGTCATTGATGTTGAACAAGCTTGACAGAAAGGCATTCAAAATGAATTCAGTCATTACATATGTGGAAGATAATAAAAACTAGCAATAGAAATGCTGTTATTTTACTTTCCAACTAGAGATTTCTGTACAGACGAGAGTTACTTGGATGAAAAGGAAGATGTGATTTCTGCTTTCATGATTGCATAATGTAGAGCAAAATTTATTGACTATATCTTTTCATTCATAAACTTAAAAAAAATTCATTTAAATCTGTGTATTGATTTAGAAAAATATGTAATCTGTCTTTCAAATAAGCTCTAAAAATTGTTTCTTTGAATGATATTCATTCAATTACAGGTGGTCCAAAATTTTATTTGATACTAAATTTTGCCTAAATGTGTTTCCATGAAGCCCAAAAAACTTTTTATTGTTAAGGATGATAAATATTACGCAACGAAATGACGAAGTTGTAATAACAAAATAATGCAGAGGCTCCATGGCTTCTCATGATTTTGAACGTAATGCAATTAGGCATAGAGATACTAGTAAACCAATGTTTTTCATATAGTCATATTTCAGTTTTTGTGAGCCTCTATTGTAAGATATATCTGCTTTGTGGATGAAAGTATTAAAAGGAAAAAAAATTCAAATAAACACGAGATAATAAAAATTGGAAAGCACAAAGGATTAACATAGACAACGTACTTTATGTCTCCATTGAAGTATTTTAATTTACAATCTGAACTTGGCAGCACTGATATTTAAGAGCTAGAGCAATATGATGATGATAATAATGATAATAATAATAATATTAATAATAATGTAGAAAAAGAATGATAACAATGAAAATGGTAAAGAGCATGCTATTTTTAGTCCCCTATTTTCCACTCGTGGAGACTGAAATAGATTTTGTAGAATTCTGATTAATAGTGGAGTCTTTGCATTTACTTTTGTTTTCTCAAACAAGCTGGGCAGAATCTAATGAGTATTCAATTAATTTTTACTGGAAACACTTTTTTCTCATAGAGACAATATTAAATTTTACTTCTGAAATGCTAGCAAAAGTTCAATTATTTTAAACAATTTTAAGAAAACATAATGTGATACTCTTTCCTTGCCCACAAAAAACAACAAAAAACAAGTTTTGAGAGGAAGGAGGAAGAGAAGCAAGAATGCTTCAATGTCAGTGAACCCCAGGAACAGCCAATAGAAAACAAAGAAAACAAAATTTAGAAAAATTTTTATATGAATTAATTGCCCTCTGAGAAACATCTTCCTGTTTCATTAATTTGGCGTTATGCTCATGTAACACAACTATGCTCATGTAACAAAACTACAAATTCAGAATTGATTAATCATATTCAGTCAATTAATAATGTTACTATATTTTTTTTCCCATCAAATAAATACTGATTTTCAGTTTGTGGCATCCACACCTCTCTCACAGGTTAAAACAAAATATTACAATTAAGTAGTGCAATTTGTATTATGGGAACCCACATGTTCTATATATTTGTGTGCTTTAATTACCTAATGATGATAGTACTAGAAAACATGAAATCTACACATGTTATTGTAATTCTTAACCAGGAATAACTGAGTGGTTTGAATTGTACTGATAAGTGTTGCAGCATTATTTGGGTAGGACATATTGGAATAATTGTTCAAATATGTTTTAACGTATGGTGTTTGTTATGCAATAAATAGAAAATGAAGTAAATGCGGGTCAATGAAGCTACTTACTTTTTGTAAGAAACACCTTAGTCTAATTGTTAATTTATATGGAAACCATTAGAAAAAATCTAAATGAATGAGAAGTGGCAAACTTGCAGTAACAGTAGAAATACTTGTCTGTTCCACATGAAGATACACACTGCTAGAGCATGTAAAACATCAATAGAATGCCATCACTAATGAATACTTCAAATAAATTTCTATAAGAAAGTAATAGAATTCATCAGAATTTCGTGAAAACTGTCTGACAATTTCTTCATCTAGTGTGTTAAATGAAAGAATTACTTCAGTACTTACAATATTACTGAATATTGAGCCCAGTGATAGCCAATACTAAAATTTAATTTTTTATGAGATTTGGTTATTAATTTATTTTGAAATAAAAGATATTTATATTACTTGCAGACACATATTTGTCATTGTGAATTATCTACCTTTGACATAATCAGCTAGTGGTCAAATGTAGGCTATTGTTCATGAAAGGAAATGAAACAAAGTTGACATGTCATATGCACAGACTTAACAGTTCAAAGAGACTTTTTGTTTACCTCAGAATGAAAACAAAGCATGTATAAAGTCTTAAGAAACTGGAAAAATACACATCTATTTCAAAATGGTTATGGAAATAAACTTGTACAACCAAATCTCATTGTCTACAGGGACCATTTTAGATCTGACATTTTGCTTTGCAAAATCTTTTAATTGCGGCTATCCACCAAAGTTCACCTTTTTCTCTCCACAAAATAAACAGAAATAACTTGATGATTCCTATTTTTTAATTTCAAAACCCTCAAACTAAAATAATCTCAGCATATATTTGTCCCTATGAATCTAAAAAAATATGTAAAATGCTGTTATGTAACAACAGATTTACACATAATTTGCTGTCAAATTCTAGATGTTACAGGATGTGATAGCATGTAAATACATAATAAATTAAGATATGTACTCAATAGAATTATATTACATGCTTGTGTGATGTATGTTCAATTTTTGATTAATTACTTAAAACAACAATTTCTATAAAGAGTAAGTGCTTTAAAAGTTTAATTGTTCTTTTATATATTACATTTACCTTCTACTTTTTTTCCTACATAGTTGTGAAATGCAAATAAAGATTTTATAACATCATACACCCCCATAACCCTAATAATCTTCATTAACAGAAAAGTTTAACATAAGATCTAGATCTTTGAACCCTCTGTTCACATTACTACTGAAAGAACAAATTATTGTTAACTTAATGCACCGTCATAGTACAGGTACATTCATGCATGCCTAAAAACATCTCTAAAAAGACAATGCAATTTCATTAAGTTTGAAAAATACAGTGATTTTTTAAATTTTGTAATGAAAATGAAAGTTTTCACATGATTGCAATACTATTTGCTTATGTTTAATTTATTAAAAGAATGTACAGAAATTGATATTGCAGGTAGTCATATCACGAAAATTTAAAGTATGTGATTAAATAATTTTATTATCGAGTTAACTTTACTTTTGTACTAAATGAAATGGCAGATGTAAAATTGAGCATGATTGAGAATGCTTGAATGGGTATAAATGGCTTCAAGAAAGATGTTAAAACATGCAAGTGAAGTTCTAAAAGAATTCAAGTATGCAACAATTATCATTGCAAAAAATGGCAATGAGCTTCAATATTACAAGTCTGTATCAGTGCACTAGAATATAGTTCACAGATAACATTTCTGTAATTTAGAGCATATCTAAGATGATTTCAGTTAATTTGCAACACTCAGGAATTGTTATTGAACTTTACTCCAGACCATGCTAAAGCTTATGATTGCAATGTATTACACATTCTGTATGATATAAAACAAGAACTTCATGAATTTTGATAACACTTTAACTGAATATTAACATTAATATAAAAAGGTTGTTTGTTTCTTACAGTTATGTGTAAATCTATGTAAGAATTCTGGAGCCACAAAACTGTATTAAATGTAAAAGATGGTATTATATATCGTTATTATTTAAAAATGTACATCTATTAGAAATTATTAAATAATGTAAATTTAGAGATAAATGAAATATAGCACTTGTTTTATTGTGATACACTCAGAACTAGTTTTATTAATAACAAGATAACATACATGTATAATTAAGATTTGAATGATGATCTATTCAATGCAATAAAATGTATGAACCTAATTCCCTTCATTTGACATACAAACATAGATTCTGCAACTAATTTTTATTACAACTATCAACAATATAGTGAAAAGTGATCCTAGTTAAGAATAAACAAAATCCCTGTATGAAATAGCTGCAGAAGAATTGCAAAGTACATGAAGAAAGGTTTCAAACAGGACCAAATAATAAGGTTTCAATTAATGCAGAAATGGGCACTTAAAATAAGTAGAACTAGTTTTACTTCTCATTAGAGGAGCAAAGAGTAATGATATCAAAGATGATAACCGAGTTCGCAATCCCAACCATTGAGAAACATCACTTTATTTCTGCATACATGTGGAATGGAGAATAAATAAGAAATATGTGAACAAACAACAATCACCACAAATTGATCATTATTGACCAAAAATAAAACATAAAGTGAAATTGGATACAATGCAAGACTGAAGTAATTAATCAACAAGTTCTTGTCAGATATCTTAAGTGATCTTAATCGTACGAATAACACAGCCACACAACGAATCAGGTTTTTTGAATCATATAATGTATTTTGACCAACTGAACTGAAATCTGCCAAGAAAATTGGCTCACTGGGTCAAAGTTTCTCGTAAGACTCAAAATATAAGTCCAAATTCACAAAAATTATTGTGTACGACTATTTTCTAAAATGTATTCTATATTACATAGTGTATTTTTATTTGCTTTGACAAGAGTTTCCACATGTTTCAAAGGAGTAGTGACAAATATATTGGGCAAAATAAGAGACGTGAATAAAAAAAATGGTGGCTAAACTGAGGAAATTCTTTTAATTAATTTAAAATTTCATTTCCTTAATTTACCTGAAAATCTTGAAGAGGGTAGCAAAAACCAGGTAAATCACCAAGATATTAATGTAATGGAACAATGATATCTGGATAGGGGAGAATCAGCCATCACGATGGCTGATTTCTGTTGTTTGTTGAAGAGGGAAACAAACAGGATATGAACAAAACATAATGAATGTCTAGAACTTCTAAAGAAAAAAAGAGCTCATTACAGTAGCAAAAAAACTACAATTGAGACAATTTGAGAATTTTCTGGAAGATAGTTTATGTTTAATTTATTCTGGTGTTGAGTTTAGATCAAGTGAAAAGGAAAACAAATGTGCTTACCTTTGTACAATTTTTTATGTGGATATAATATGGGTTATTCATGATAACAACAATTTGCAAAGAAAAAATTGTTTTCCTTCAATTCTGACTTTTTTTTAAGCCTTTGAGTTATGTTGGGCAAATTCAGATGTAAACATTGGATTTAAACAAGTCAATATACATTTATTACTTTTGTATGTTTAGCATGTAAATACCAAAAGGGTAATGGTGTATTCTCCAAGAAAAATGGGGTTTTGTTAAGCAAGACCAATT